TCCAGACTTTCTACGTGCAAAACACATATTCCCCCCCCCCCCTTCTATTCCTTCCCAAGATCTCAGGTCTTTCCTACCACCTGTCAGGTGTCAGGGACTGAACCCTGACAGAGGTCCATCAGTGGCGATTAGCCACAAGGTATAGATAGGGACTCTGGGGCAAGGGATGCTCTGTCTTCTTGGTGCTTGGGGGGGTCAACAGTGGGAGGGCTTCTAATGTCCTGGCTCCACTGCTGGACCTCCTGGTGGCACCTGGTGTTTTTGGCCACTGTGTGACAGTGTTGGACTGGAGGGGCCACTGGCCTGATCCAACATTGGCTTCTCATATGTTCTTATATCTGGGGCAAGTGATGCTCTGTCTTCTTGGTACTTGGGGGGCTCAACAGTGGGAGGGCTTCTAATGTCCTGGCCCCACTGGTGGACCTCCTGATGGCACCTGGTATTTCTGGCCACTGTGTGATACAGAGTGTTGGGCTGGATGGGACTTTGGCCTGATCCAACATTGGCGTCTCATCTCTTCTTAGCAAAGCAAGTGCTCCACTGCTGAATGAAATTTGTTGGGAAACTTTACGAAGCCGCCTTCTTATGTCATCCAACCCCCCCGGCACACCAAGTCCAGTCAGGTCAACTCTGCCTGACAGATGTTATATAGTTCTTTATCTGAAGATGCCCAAGAGCAAACCTCAGACCTTAATGCATACAGAGCCTGTCCCCTCCAAAGTAGCCCCACTTTTAAGAAATAATCCTGTTGTCGGCGCAGCCACCAAAACGCTCTCGGCCGCCTGATGTTAACACATTTTATTACATACAGAACAGATATGATTCATTTTGTTTGATAGCATATACGGGGGGGGTGAAGCACAGGAGACTTACTCTTTGTTTTGTTCCCAAACATCTCTTTACATCTTTAGACCAAAACAGCGGAGTTTACAGGCCCTTAAGACACTTTTTCTTTTTCTTAAAAAAAGTCCTTTTATAACGTACAAGTTAACTTTACATACATCACAGTGGAGATGTGGCGGGGAGGTTGCGTGTGTGTGTGTGTATGTTCAAGCCAGTAAGCTTTTCACCTTGCTGTCAGGCAGTTGCCGCCCAAGCTGGTGGCTTGCAGATGTGTCTCCCCCTCTTGCACCCCTCCCCTTTGAACATGTGCTTCTTCTCAAGGGAAACATAGACGGCAAAAAAAGAAAGAAAAGAAAAGTTCTTCTGGCCCATACATGGGATAGTGAAGCAAACAACTGCAGGTCTGATGGACCAAAGCCAGACCAGGGACTGCAGGAGGATGAGTCAGTTTCATAGTTCTACCCCCTCCGCCGTGGCTCAGTGCTACAGGAGAGCCAATCTCTCTCTCTCTCATGGTTTTGGCAACAGATAGACCGGCTTTAGAACTGTGGCACATCTTATCATTCCAAACGTCGCCCTACCACAGCTTGCCTCCCCTGCTTTCAGAATAACGGAGGAGGGGCTCCCCACCTTCCTGGTCTGGTATGCACAAAGCGGTCTGCTACTGATTCGTATCAGTCTTATCAGGAGTCTGCTCTGACCGGCAGGGTCTCAGGTCGAGGTCTTTCACATCACTTACTGCCTAATCCTCTTTGCTGGTGGAGATGCCGGGGACTGATCCGGGTCCTACAAAGTAGATGCTCTACTATGAAGCCGCAGCCCTGTCCCAACAGGTTGCATGCAGTGTGTCCCTCTAAGCTGAGTTAGTGTGAGCTAGCTCACAGTTTTTTTAGCCTCCGGCTCACACATTTTTGTCTTAGCCCAGGAAGGAGGGCTCCAGAGCAAACGAAGTTATTCAGTAGCCAATTCACCTGCCCACAACTTTAACGCCGGTAGCTCACAAAGTAGAATTTTTGCTCACTGGACTCCACAGCTTCGAGGGAACATTGGTGGTTTTTTGCTGTTTGCAAGTGTAACTCCATTCCCATAGCAAAGTAAAATGACATTTTGCCATGGGGGGGTTGGGGGGGACTAGCCTTGCCTGGCATGGTCAGTACTACAGCTAAAAACCTATATGAAGTCATGAATTAATCTACTCCAGGTTCCTTCTACAGGGATGGCGGTAAACTTCCAGACCTAGTTTGGTCTGAAAGTGAGAAAGGCCAAAAATTCTACTTGGAAACCAATGCCTCATCGCTAAGCAAGCCTGGATGGTTCCGTTCTGATATCACACAGAGCCATTTTATTTAGATCAAGATGAAGATTATGGATTATTTAGATCAAGATGAAGATTACAGCTGTGCTCAAAACCCTACCCTCTCAGTAGCCTGGGAGGGTGTCACTGGACAGGAGGTCTGCAGTCAGACATCACACGAAACCCTAGTTAAAGACCAACTGTTGTAAAAAGAGTAACTTCAGACCTGATTTAACAGACCTTCGATATCCGGGCTTAGGCGGGTACTCCCATATTCAGACTGTCACCTGAACTGAATTAAACCGGTTTCCCACGATGTCTGAAAAAGAGGCACCGTCTTTACTCTCAACCTACAACCTGTTCAATCTACATTGTTGATGCTTTTGCCAGCACACTGTCCTGGGCAGTTTCTGATTCCAGTATAAGGCTGCAGTTTTAAAAGGAGGGGCTTGGAAACAGATCCACGGTGAATATCCCTGAACCACAAAACAGGGTGCTTGGGCTTCTGCCTTTGCAGGGAAGACCCGACCCCCCCCAAAGCTCATTCAGCTTGTAGCACTCTCCTCTGGAAGTGGAGATCAGCCCATTATGGGAAGAAAACAAATACACAAATGGGACCAGATCAGGAACAAGGGATGCAAAAAGGAAAAAGGGGAAAGCCTGCCACAATCTCCCTGTCGTTTCCTCCAGCTATTTCCATCACTGATGATCAACACAGGGAGAGGGACAGATGGTCCTGCTGCTGGCCCACCACATGCTCCTGAAGAGACCATGCCCTCAGTAATCTCCCAATGGTTCTTCAGGAACCTCAAGAGTTAGTTGGATAGAAGTCAACAAAACTCAGTTAGTATTTAACTCCTATGGATTTTATCAGGGCATAAGCGCACTTTAGTGTGGCCTCGGTTTTGTTCCTACAATTTCTGTAGAAATCATCTAAAGGCGGGAAGTGACCAAGTTAAATCAGCTTCCCGACTGTAAAACGATACTTCCTACTCCCCAGGGGTCTGGCTGATGTGCTTCCCTCTCCAGGAGAAGACCACCCCCCTGTCAGTTCTGCTGTTTTTCAGCTTCTTGTGAAGAACTTCCTGCCCTTCCCTCCACTTAGCCTCCTCTTCATTTGCTCCCTCTCTGTCCCAGAACCCCCCAGCCCCACAGGTGACGCTGCTAACATCTCCTAGGCCCCAGCCATTCTCCTCCAAAGCACCCCCAGAGTCTCCTTCTTGAACTATCTTCCTGAACT